AAAAGGTTGTCCAAATAATGTAAAGATCCACACTACAAAATGTTGTCCAATTAATGTAAAGATCCACACTACAAAATGTTGTCTAATAATGTCAAGTCAAGTCAGATTTATTTTTAGAGCACATTTAAAACAGAAACTGTTACCAAAGTGCTTAACAAAAATATCACATCATCAGATAAAAAGTAGCAAGATATATTTACAGCACATGGAATAAAAATATAAAACCAAAAACAATTAGAAACAATGAAATACTAGATCAGATCTGATGACCTTGTGTTAAATAGGAATAATAACAAAAGCATAAACAGAATCAGCATCAATGAAAAACCAGATCTAAAGCTGATCACCCTGTGTTAAATGTCAGTGAGTATAAATGTGTTTTTAGGAGAGATTTAAAGGCAGAGACTGAGGTGGCCTGTCGAATGTTGATGGGCAGATTGTTCCAGAGTTTAGGGCCCACGACTGAAAACACTCGATCTCCTCTGAGCTTCAGCTGGTTTTTGGTACGGCCAAAAGCAGCTGGTCTGATGATCTCAAAGCCCGAGAAGGAGCATAAGGATGAAGAAGGTCGGAGAGATATGATGGTGCAAGGCCATTAATGCACTTGAATGTCAGCAGGAGAATTTTAAAATCAACTCTGACACGCACAGGAAGCCAGTGAAGGGAGGACAGAACCGGAGTAATGTGCTCAAACCTGTGAGTTCCTGTTAGTAGCTGAGCTGCAGCATTTTGTACGAGCTGGAGACGTGAGAGTGAAGCCTGACTAACCCCAACATAAAGTGAGTTACAGTAGTCCAGCCGGGTAGTGATAAATGCATGGACTAGTTTTTCAAGGTCGGATCTGGACAGAATGGACTTAAGCTATGCTATCTGCCTTAGCTGAAAGAAGCTCTTTTGTAGAACAGAGTTGATCTGTTTATTAAACTTAAAGTCAGAGTCTGGTGTAACCCAGTCAATTTTGATGCTTTTATTTCCTCAGTTTTATGCCACTGTTTTGGGACTAAGTGTGAAATCTCATGAGATTTCACGGGATTTGAGTTTCATAGAAAAACATAGCTCCTCCCATCAATTGGGAGAGCAGGTGTGTGACTGAGGAAGTTCAGAGCTGCTGCAGGTGGGCATTAAGAAATTTTGAATACATTTTATAGACTGTCAAATACTGTCAAATCCTTACTGGTATGCTTCTCAGCTTTTAGATGTTTCTAAACTGTGAGACACTGCTGTTTGTGCTTAAAAGACCAGAAACAAGCAAACTGGTGAGTGTTTATATTGTTTGTGGCATGCTAATGCTGGCATTAGCATGCTAAAGCAAATCCTAATTGTTTGTTAGCTTATAGCCTTTAAATATAAATGGTCAAATGCTATTCAATGGATTTAAAGGTTATGTTGTACTTTTGTGCCATCTTTAACACTCAATCATACAGCGACTATGAATTTGAAGAGTACTCTATTTGGAAATTATTGTTTGTATATTTATATTATGATAAACAATTTAGAAAAGTAAATCATGTACATGTAGATCATCAACATATTAATCCTATGTATTTGTAAAACTAATTATGGTATGGTATTGATGGTGATTTCGATATTAATACTAGAAAATGATGTTAACTTGATCCTGTTGTACAGGCCAGGTTTCCTATGATGGTGAGCTACCACTAGGCTTCAGGCCCAAAGAACCCGGAGCCAGAATCGGATCTGTTTGGTGCGGTAGGAAATGCTGTGGCCTGCTCCCTACACACACCCAAGAACCTTTACAAGCATTAAAGGCCTCTGAACATTTAATTAGTCTTTGACTCATCGAACATCTAAACCCCTCAATCTTATCTGGACTATTGCCCTGGTCTTGGTATCTTGTGAACTGTGGGATTATTACAAGCACTTGGATTTAGTCTGGAAAATTTGGGAGATCTGTTCATTTATTGAAATATCTTGGTTATTGGTATAATGAATGGATTGATGATGTTGATGACAGAGCTTATTATGTACATATTGTAAATATTATCAAAATTAATACAAAGCACCTTATGCACTGTTTTTTTGTCCTTGTGTTCTTGAAATGCAAATGCAACCATAACCCTTCATGAGGAAGACGTTAGGACCTTCTGATAACTGGCCTGTTACTAATACTGTTGAGTGAACACCATTTTTGCCAGATCTTTAGCATTTACATCATATATGCTACACTAACACTACCCCAAGATTGGTAACTGACTGCTTTAGATGTGGCTGAAGGGAGTGCAGGTTTACAGGATCAGTGACAGTGGTAGAGCTTGGGTTAAACACAATGACCTCAGTCTTCTGATCATTAAAACTCAAGAAGTTTGCAGCCATCCAAGTCTTGATGTCATCAAGACATTTTAGCAAAGGGAGGATGGAGCAAGAACTGTTTGATTTTAAAGGCAGATAGATCTGAGAGTCATCGGCGTAACAGTGAAACGAAATACCATGTTTCCTCAGGATTGACCCCAAGGGGAGCAGATACAATGAGAACAGAAGGGGTCCAAGAATGGAGCCTTGTGGGACCCCACAGGAAAGAGGGACAGAAGCAGAAAAATGATTGTCAAAGTTAACACAGAAACTCCTGTCACCCAGATACGAACGGAACCATTCTAGCGCCACCCCTGTAATCCCAACCCAGTGTTCTAGCCGTGACATAAGGATGCTGTGATCAACAGTGTCAAATGCAGCGGTAAGGTCGAGGAGTACCAGGATCACAGACTGACCA